CTTATATTTTTAGAAACGAACATCATTGAGGCGTTATAAATAATTATGAGGCTCTCAGGATGTTGTTTTGAAGAAGGCTTAACAGTGATATGATGCACTTTTCCAAGATAAAATTACTGAAATACTTAGTCTGAAACAACATAGAATTGTTTATCTAACAGAAAATAAAAGCTGAGTTGGAAGAATGCAATTTAAATTTTGAAATTTGATCAAAAACAAATGTTAACATCCAAGAACATCCAATGGAGGTACAAACAAGTTTGATGAAGATTTATAAGAAAGATCATGTGGTGGAGTCACTCAAATATTTCTCTCAGACAATCAAAATCATTTACACGGACATATTCCAGAGATTATCCACCCATGACATATGCTATGTTTGGTTATTTCTAATATTTATTCTTCAAAGATTGAAAAAAAATGCCACTTTTGCATAATTAGCTCCCATCAAGTGAAAAAGTAATTTATGTGAATGTTTTCGAGAAAAACACCCAAAAAAAGATTTAGACCAACTTTGAAAATCAACAAAAAAATATTGATTCAGTGGAAAAGATTGTTTCAGGGCTTTTTTTTCTTCTTCCAAGTTTTGTTATATCTTAAAGAGACCATGATAGTTTTATGAAATAAAACATGAGACAGGACAAGTCTCCAGATGTTATAATACAATATAATGCACATATATTATATATGTATACAGTATATATATTTTTTTTAGAATTACTTTTTCACACTTTCCCAACACTGTGCTGAGTCCCTGTGATATAATGTACAAGAAAAGCATTGATGCAAAGCATCAAAGGGCGTCCAAGCAAGAAATAAGAAAGTGAAGATGAACTAGTAGACATATGATGTCAAGATATTCTTATAAACTTTTCAATGGTTAATTGGTTTTTACCAAAATGAACGGACGGAAGACATTGTTCATTATGAACTTTGATTGGCAACGGATATACATGTATACAATCATTTATCATCCATACCCATGTGTAACGCATGATCAACACCACACTTGTGGAATTGTCCCTTATTATGTATTCGCTATTAGCGAAGACCCCCTCTTAAGGTATCTGTTCACACTTAGGAAAATATGACACTGGTTATATTACCATGTCATGTTGAGCATTATTGTTTATTATACAATAATTGTAATATCTATTTTAATAACAAAAAAATTAATACAGATTTTATGAATATTGTTTTCCTCTCTCTTTTTGTGTTTTTATGTGCTATTTTAATACTGAGATTTTTACGTTTACTATTCTTTTTTTATTAAAATTGTAAATTAAATTTTAAGAATTCAAATGTCATATTGACCGACGATTATAAGTCAAAACTTTACTGGAAAAAGTCAGTAAATTATGGTTAATCTTTCAATATATAATATTATTTATTCTTAAACCATGTACATGTACATTTGTATTTTTCTTTATCATTTTTTAAATTATCATTCAAAATCAAATAATTAATAAAATCTAATTTGTTACTTTGAATAATTCACCGGCATCTTTACTAAACACGAATAACAAATAAAATAAAATGTTTCAAAGTTAATAGAGTCATATTAAAACCATAAAAATGTACCTTTTTTCACAATTATTGTACATATTTATTGTTTATATCTCGTATAGATAAAATGAAACATGCTATTGTTGGTGTTGTTGTTTTTTTCGAATTGTATGTTTATGTATAATAATAATCAATATATTTGAGAGTTGATCTATGTTTATTAATTATTGTAACCAAACTAAGTGACAAACATTCATTTTGGAAAAAAGCAAATTTATCTGTAAAATATTTGTTCTGTTCTGTAACGATATCAAACATCTACTCCAAAAACCGGGAGAGATCGGACAATAAACGTGTGATACTTTTCGCCGGTCACTAGTATCACGGTCAAAATAGACCGGGAGAGACCGGAATTACCGATAGGAGTACATCCCTCTATAAATAGATTTTCGGAATATTTAGGTCATCAACTCATCATTCTATTTTAACATACCATGATAACCCACTGTGTACTACAAAATGATAAATAAAAAACCGAAGAGACGGAAAAGGTTATTGCATTTGAAAATGAAACGGTTATTGCATTTGAAAATGTTTGCATTGCGAAATCCTCCAGTTCGCTATTCATTGTAACATATCGCGACATTTAATTAATAATCAAGCACCCTCATACCGATCGGAATGATCGGCTTTTATCATGACCGACTTAAAGGCTCGAGAAGTTGCTGTCGCCCTTTCACAAAATCTGATTTCGTTCCATAAAGGGGCGCCGCGCTTCGGCGCGGACGCCAATAAAGCTGTTGTTGATATTTTCTACAATACTGTGATATCGAATAAATAAAGATAATACATCAAAGTATGTACAGTATTTTTTGTTTATACGACCTTTGTTTACATTAGCCTACAAAATCAATGGTGTATCTGTGCTAATGTAACATATTGTAAAATCACAACGTGACTTGCTTTTATTTACAAGTTCTATAGCATCTGTTGTTTTACAATTACTAATTTTTTCTTGGAATTTTTTCATTCAGATCAATACACTTTAAATAATACATTAATAATCAATGGTTAACAAAAGCGTTCAGTGGGTCACATGTGTCACCTGATAGTAGCCATTTAAGCAGTTGTATTAAGGGGTGATTAACCACTTTGTTTCCTATATGTTGTGGAAATTTTGGCTTCTCTCTAGCAGGCGACACAAAAAAGGGCTTAAACAATCAAATGACCAAAAAAAATTGTCCAATGGTCTATGAATCAAAACTATATCTGTCAATGACATCTCAAGCCAGGATTTAACAAGAGGGCCATGATGGCCCTGGGCCATGATGGCCCTGAGGTCGCTCACCTGTATATAGGCCCCCCCCAACCCCCCCCCCCCCCAACGTTGCAGGGCCAATTTAACCCAGGGGCTTTTATTTGCACAAACTTGGTAGACACCCATAAGAAGATGTTTCATGCTAAACATCTAAGCTCTAGCTCATTGGGCTTTTTAAAAGAAGATTTTTTTTAAGTTTTTACTATACACATATAGTTAAGAACAATGACACCCCTGGGCCCGGGCCAGTTTTGACCCGAGGGCTTTTATTTGAACAAACTTTGTAGACACTTACTAGAAGATGTTTCATGCTTAATATCTAAACTCTAGCTATTTGGGTTTTTTCAAAGAAGATTTTAAGTTTTTGCTATACACATATAAAGAAAATCAATGACCCGGGGCCAATTTTGACCCAAGGTCTTTTATTTGAACAAACTTTGTAGACACTCACTAAAAGATGTTTCATGCTTAATATCTTAACTCTAGCTATTTGGGTTTTTTCAAAGAAGATTTTTAAAGTTTTTGCTATACACATATAAAGAAAATCAATGACCCGGGGCCAATTTTGACCCAAGGTCTTTTATTTGAACAAACTTTGTAGACACTCACTAAAAGATGTTTCATGCTTAATATCTTAACTCTAGCTATTTGGGTTTTTTCAAAGAAGATTTTTAAAGTTTTTGCTATACACATATAAGGAAAATCAATGACCCCCGGGGCGGGGCCAATTTTGACCCCAGGGCTTTTATTTGAACAAACTTGGTAGACACCTATTAGAACATGTTTGATGCTAAATATCTTAGCCATAGCTCTTTGAGTTCTTTAAAAGAAGATTTTTTAAGTTTTTACTATATGCATATAGGGAAAATCAATGACCCCCTGGGGCGGGGCCAATTTTGACCCCAGGGCTTTTATTTGAACAAACTTGGTAGACACTTATTAGAACATGTTTCATGCTAAATATCTTAGCTCTAACTCTTTTGGTTCTTTAAAAGAAGATTTTTTAAGTTTTTACTATATGCATATAAGGAAAATCAATGACCCCCTGGGGCGGGGCCAATTTTGACCCCAGGGCTTTTATTTGAACAAACTTGGTAGACACTTATTAGAACATGTTTCATGCTAAATATCTTAGCTCTAACTCTTTTGGTTCTTTAAAAGAAGATTTTTTAAGTTTTTACTATATGCATATAGGGAAAATCAATGACCCCCTGGGGCGGGGCCAATTTTGACCCCAGGGCTTTTATTTGAACAAACTTGGTAGACACCCATTAGAACATGTTTCATGCTAAATATCTTAGCTCTAGCTCTTTGGGTTCTTTAAAAGAAGATTTTTTAAGTTTTTACTATATGCATATAAGGAAAATCAATGACCCCCCGGGGCGGGGCCAATATTGACCCCAGGGCTTTTATTTGAACAAACTTGGTAGACACTCACTAGAAGATGTTTCATGCCAAATATCTAAGCTCTAGCTCTTATGGTTTTTTAAAAGAAGATATTTAAAGTTTTCTCTTTCGGTTGCCATGGCAACCAGAGTTCTGCATGGAATTAAATTCTTTGAACAATTTTTAAAGGCGACCATCAAAGGAACGTTCCTGTGAAGTTTGGATGAAATTGGCTCAGTGGTTTATGAGGAGATGTCATTTAAAGTAAAAGTTTACGGACCACGGACGGACGGACGGACGCCGGACGAAAAGCGATCACAAAAGCTCACCCTGTCACTTTGTGACAGGTGAGCTAAAAACAGGACACAAAATTGTCTGATATTTGACCTTTGACCTTCAATGTTGACCTTGAGCCAGCACAGCAGTAGCATGGGTTTGGCACATTACCTTATTATGGTGGACATTTTAGCCAAGTTTAAGAAAATCCTTCAAGGGGTAAAGGATTATAATTATAGGGACACGAAAAAGTCTGTTTGAACTTTGACCTCTGACTGAGCTCGCATAGTAGTGGCATAGGTTTTGAACATTGTCTTAATGAGTTGAACATTTAAGCAAAGTCTGAAGAATATCCTTCAAAGGGTATAGGATTTATAGAGTGGACACGATTAAGACAGACCGACCGACTGCAACCAACGTGACAAAGTTATTCTATTACAGCCCCGTCTATATTTTGTGGCGGGATATAATAAAAGAAACTGGATAATGAAAATAAGGAATAAGAATCACCTACACAACATTATATTCTCCAATTGATTTGTTGTCCACTGTTACTTTGTTTTCAGTTGAAGAATTAGATATGTGGTCCGTACTGGCATATTTGTTGTCTGTGTCAATCACGAAATCAGTCCGGGTAGAAATAGAATTAGCACCAACAGTTGGTTTAACAATATCACTGGTATCTGTTACTTTACAACCTAACTCTGTGTCATGAAAATCTTGACACTTGTTATATTTGGTTTGCATAGGATCATCACAGTTTAACGTCTCTCTTTCTTTGTGTTTTTCTTTCCGTCTTCTTTCTTTATCTAGAATTTTTTTAAGGCCATCTTCTTTGAAATATTCATTAATAACCTCTCTACACCAATCTATTCTTGTTTCTGTAAATTGAAAGTTGTATCTGATAAAGATATTATTCAATATGTAAAGTGAAGAAGAACAAAATACAAGACAAAGGTGTAAAGTACACTTTTAAATACCTGTTTACAAAATTTTAACATTTCATTATTAAGCATTTCTAGTTAAGTAACTAGTTTTAATTTGTAAAAAATGTGGCATAAAAAAGACAAGTTTTAAATATCATTTTAATGAACTGAATGATTCAGCATCAATAAAGTATATCCAATATCTTTGCTTTTATTTGGCTGATCAGTAAACCTTTCATCATGTTCATATAAGTACTACCTTTAGTTAGTTAACTTACCTTTTGTTTTCAGCCCAGTGATATTAAGCTTCCTGAAAGTACTTGCTTATCAACTGACCATGATTTTTTAAACTCAGTGGTCTTTAATTTCCTAAAGTTGTAATAACATATCTTGGGTTTTATCCAGTTATGTTTAGCTTAATGTTAACTCTTATAAACTTACCTTAGGTTTGAAACCAGTTATTCTTTAGATTCTAAAATCTTTATCAACCTACCTTGGGTTTTATCAAGTTATGTTTAGCTAACTGTGAATTTTTATCAACTTACCATTTGTTTAAAAGCTAAAAATCTTTAGATTCTTAAAAGTGTACAAACTTACCTAAAGTTCTATCCAGTAAACTATAGCTTTGTGAACTTTTTTCAACTTACCTTGGGTTTTAAGTCACATGATCTTAATAATCCTAATGCCTTATGCCTCTTGGTCTGATAATGTTTAGCTTCATAAATGTATATGTACTTACATTGTTTCTCTTCTTTGTTTCTGACTTTTCATAAGATTTATAAACTTATTTGGAACAAGGGGGCCTTTTACTTTTTGAAAGATAATTAACCTTGTTTTTTGTTTATCAACAAACCTTGGTTTTTGGCCCATAGCAGACCTTTCACTTCTTGAAGGTTTAATGACTTACCTTGGTTTTTGGCCAATTGCAGACCTTTCGCTTCTTGGAGGTTTACTGACTTACCTTGGTTTTTGCCCCATAGTGACCTTTCACTTCTTGAAGGTTTATTGACTTACCTTGGTTTTTGGCCCAGTGATCGGTGGCAAGATGATGCATGGCATCTGCATATTGAGAGAGGACAGGTTTATTCTGACAATGCTCATACCAAATACTCTCTAGATCTGTTTCTCCTGTAATATAAAAACAACAACATAGAAACATCATGACATTCAAACTCACACTTAGCCTGCTAACAATGAATGGACCTACCAATGTGACCAGTGCAAACCAAGACCAGCCCACACATGTATGTAATCCCTATTTAATTAATCTTTACTTTCAAATTTTCTCTTAAAGTAATAAAACTATTTTGTTGAGATTGAAAGATGGACAGGACTGGTCTACTTAAGATCTTTCCCAGGTTAGGGTTAAATGTCAATATAGAGTAGGCTTTTCAAAACAAATTTTGAAGAATAACCTTATGTATGACCAACTAATGTACTGCAGTACTGAACATGTATCATTAGTCCAGATTAAATATCACATTTTACCATGTAACTGTTATTAATTTGAAGAAATATTTCCCCATAATAAGCATTACTGCTATCATTTCAGCTAAACCAAGATCTATCTACCGCTACTTATTATGTATCAAAGCCTTTCTCTCTGCTAAAAAAGAGCTCTAATTTCCTGTAAAACAATTAAATATATCTGCAGACTCTGTTAGTTTACATTTTAAATGGATCACCACATTCGTAGTATAATATTTCCTTGATTGTTCATTTCCATTTACATGTATGATGAAATCAAGAGTGACTTTTTTATAATGACAATTTATTTATCATCAATTTAATGGCACTAATCCACATAATTTTCGCACTTGAAAACACACCTGTACTTTTTTTGTACTTGTTGCGTAGCTCTGCATGAACACCTTTCACAATACTTGCTAAACGCAGATGCTCCTCATGGCTTTCTTTATCAGGTTTGGAGTCTGGTCTATGAACACGGGAAGACTGACTGCTCAAATGTTCTGCTACATTTGTTGATTCAGACATTACTGCAGCTCAATGACAAGTCTGAAGCATACCTAGGATTAAAATGATCTACATGTTAAATAGAAGAATATCATCTGGTTTATTTTTGTGCATCAACAATATCACCAGACTACCATCGCTAGATTTGAAAACTGGATAGATACATTCATATGCTTGAACAAATGCCATGTAAAAATTTGTTAAAACAAGCCCAACCTGATTCAAAACCCAAAACTGAGAAACCAATGTGGACAGGGAGGGGTGGCCTTGTGGTTTAGGTGTCTGCCTCTCAACCAAGGGATCATTGGTCCCAGCACTACTTTGATCATGACTATGTTTTCTCATAAGACACAAGTACTACTTAGTTCCAGATAGCCAACTCCAAAGTGATAAATACATGTATAAGCTGCAATAACTTGTTTCGCAATTAAGCTTGTAAAATTATTAAATATGTTATAACTAAACTCATGCTTTTGTGTTTAAGTGTAAAACTGACCTTTTTCCCACTACTCAAATAAATTAATATTGTTCTGTGCATCTTGTTACCTGGTTAATTTTCTTTAAAAATTAATATTGAAGAATATTTCATAATTTTGTAATTATACCAAATAGCTATATTCATGTGAAAAGACAATCTTATAAACACAATCACATATTCTATCAGAAAATCACAGCAACCTCACATAATGTGAATGTAAAGAGAGCAGAAAATAAGCAAGGAATGCAGGCTCTTTCCATTTGAAAGTTACTGTGGGAGTGGTATGAGTTGGATTTAATGTCCGTTTAATAAAATATATTTTGTATCATGCTTAAACATATCAGACTATTTATACATGTAAATATATAAAATGAATCCAGTTTATAAAGTCAAGTCCGTCTGTTTATAGCTGTAAAATTGTCATGGTGTGTCTAATTATCCGAAAAAAGGACTGTCCGTATACTACTGCAAATACATTGAAAGCGAATTCGAAAAAATACTTGGCGGAAACTTTTTAAACAATACAAATTTTAAATGACTATTCACTAATTAACTATTTGAAGCACTATTTATCTAATTACCTGAACGCTTGTTGGTCAAATTTGCCCAAATTTGAAAACATCTGATTCTGCAATTCCTTCTTTACAATACAGTTCATGAATCATATTCTACTGATAACTTCCGCAAGCTTAACAGCAGCCGCACAAACTCGCGCGCGTCTTTCATGCACGAGTTAATTAATGGAGCTCGAGCTTAATATTACTTACCATGAACATGTAATTGTTGGAATTATTTATAAGTTTTCACGTTTATATTATTTGATCAGGATCTAAATTATAGAAAATACATGGTTGATGTCGGAATGGAGAAGGTTTATCCGGTGAGCGAGAAAGTGTATCTTGGCGAGCTTTAGCGAGCCAAGATTCACTTTCGCAGCGAACCGGATAAACCTTCTCCATCCCGACATCCACCACGTATTTGATTTATCCTGCTTTTTATCATGTTTTTAGAATAATTAAATGGTTTCATTCTTCTTTTCCCCCGATAAAATAGCATCTATATGTAGTTTAGTTTTGCTACTAAACATGTGACGTCACCATGTGACGTAATGACCGGAGATAGACAAGTTTATCCGGCAAGGCTTTATCCAGCTGATGATATAGACAGTAGCAGGATAAAAATATATACTGAGTATTTTTTTTTTTTTTTTTTTTTTTGGTAACTGTGTAGATATACATATCTACTAATAAATACATAGGAAATCTACCCCCATGCTAAAATAATCATATTGAGGTATGTCTTTCATGCCACAGTTATAATGAAAGCAGTTGAAAAAAGTAGATATATTGTAAACCCTTTTTCCTATACTGTACATAGGCGTCTTTATAAGTTCTTCTAGATATTTACGAATAAAAGTTGGCATATTAGCTATTAGGAATATCAATAAATATAAGAAGCTTTGTGAAACAAATAATTATTTCCTTTATAATTGATTTATGCCAAAAAAAATGAAAGTTAGCTCCCTTACATAAAACGGTTGTCTAGTGGATTAGACTATGGGAACTGTATGTAAATTTAAATCTGTTTACACTTTTTACACTCAGGTGCTTGTGACGATAATTAACCGCATAACACAAAGAAAAACAACAAAGCTGTCTGCTAAAAAATAGTCCTAGATTTTAATGATTTCTGTCAACTAATTTAATTTCATATTTAGATTCAAGTAAAAGATATAAAGAGATTTCAGTTAACAAAACAGTAATGATTTATCTCGTGATAATCATTCTTTCTTTTAGTAAAGATTGAAAAACATGCTCGCGCAATAATTTGTGTTTATTTACATTAGTGATTCGGTCTCGCTGTTTGTCTTGTGTGTTTCGCCGCTAATAACTTCAAGCAATGCGGATTGTGCGGCAAGATATAACAATATCTCAAAGGTAAGCGTTTATTCAAATGACCTGTTTTGATTTCAATTGATGATATTCATTGTAAATTATGTTTAATTTTGCATGTCACGGTACAAATCAAAGTTTATTTTTATATTTTCCTCTTTTCAATTTGCATAAGTAATGAGTTCCAATATATTTTATTGTTTACTCGCCGAAAAGCAGCCGACTGTCACAGTATACTTTTCTGAAAGTGATGCCATCTTCGCTAATTGACATATTAAAAAAATTCCTAGCTGTCATTTGATATGCAGTCGATTCTAAAGCATTTTGCTCTGCACGTGGGTCATGCGAAAACGAAAATAGGACGTTCATGAATGAATGACTGCTGATGTTGACCGAATTGTGTAAAGTAGGATGATGGATAACTATCTATGAATAATAAAATGATTTGAATTAATTTCAAGTTAAATTTCTCTACCTTATCTTTCCATGGTATTGTTTTAACTGATTTTGATATATGTTTCAAGAGTATTACACAAATATAAAACAAGGTCATGTAAACTTATCTCAGATAGGCCTATATAAGTTTATTGATGTTCACACACAGGGGTGTAGCTCAAAGGACTTTATTTGTGCACTACCATGACTTTAATTCCATGGTAGCCCTACTTCTTTTTTAACAGGAAATAATAAGAAGAGGATAAAGTGTTGAATTGCTCCAGTTAAAGTTCCTGTAGAAAGTAGAAGAAATGAAATACAATGTAACATTACCACATCGGAAATAGATAATTTGATAAGATAACTTTAAAAAAACACTTATCATAACTGCTTTTTTCCTTATGTTTGTGATGTTGATTTAGCAAAGAAGTACTAGATATAAGACCATCTGCTCTGACTTTTGAAAACTTGTAAATTATAGATGTATAAAATATTCCATATACCATTTTATTATATATTATAGCCATTTAAAATCATGTGAGTTCAGTATTTATAACATGATAATTATACATTAGACTTATAAACTACCTACTTTTGAATCCCAGTTCTTCTTAATAGTTAAAAAAATGTTTACTAAACTAATATCTTTTTATCCAGAAAGTGGATTCATGATGACTTTTTGCATGATTTGTCATAAATTAATCCTTACCACTCAAAATATCTAAGATGGACTTGTCCATGGTTCATCTTTCCAGCTGGACAAAACTGGAGACATCTTCTTTCACTTGAAATTTTCAAAATCTGTACTGACTGAATAGTGAACAGTGCAGACCATGGTCATGTCTGTAATGTAAATGATAATCTATACTAAATGATTCACCTTTAGCCTAATGTTGGCAACAGATTTTACTCATTTGACCAGTGCAGACCAAGATCAGCCAGCACACCCAGGCTTTCTAATCATATGGTCCGCACTGTTCCCTATTCGGTCATTACTTATTTTGAAAATATCCCAAAAAGAATCATGAATGGTTTTGTCCAGATTGAAAGATGGACTGGGTCTATTAAAGTTATTTATTCTTTCATAATTAATTTCATCTGACCTAGCCTAGCATTTGCCAAGGCTGTCAGATCACCTAGAAATAATGAATAACAAGTTTGTTGTTTTGCACATGTTTAAGCCATGTTTTCACAGGAACTACATTTGTAATGTAACACATCTTAACATTTTGTCTGTCCAGGTTTACAACACTAAAATATTTTTATGACCAACTGATGAGCCTTTAGGCAGGGACATAGCTTCTTAAAGGTCATGGCCTAAATTTTGTCCAAGGAAGTGGCAAACAATTCTGATTAAATCAGTCTTAGATGAACAATGGTTTACTGCTCTAAAGGTGTTGTTCTTCATCCCTTGCTTGATTACTTTAAGTTTGATCTAAATGTTATTCATATTATTTCCCTGAACATTAATTTAAAAAAAAAATAGTGCAAAAGCCCAGCTAGATCCCTAGAATTTGACCAACACATTTATTTTGACTAAGCTACATCCTTGTAAGGTCTTACTGTATATTTATTTGAAATAGAAAATCAGTCCCTCATTTTTAGCCAATCAAGATAATATCATGTTATGCAAGTCAAATATTTCAAAAAATTAATATGATTTGTGAAAATACTTCAAAATTCAACTACAAAATACATAATAGTTGAACCATGAGAAAAATATATAATATTGGCATATTTTATTGAATAATGATCTAGAATGTTTATATATGAGAAGGCAATGCTCTAGTTTTATTCTGCATGGCTGTTTTTTAAATTGATGTTAAGATGCTATTTGTGAACAGATGGAATGGTGTTTGTTATTTATTTTTGTTTGTTTGCTGTAACAAAAAGATGATAGGCAGGCAGCAATTGATTTTTTCGCTGCATCTGCTGACTGTATAATGGGTGAACAATCTAGGTTACTAAATACAGGTGCAGATCTGGTAGGGGGATTTTAGGGGAAAGACATTTTCAGAAAGATACAAATTTATTTGAAAAGTGAAGTTTAAAGAGTGAATTTTTAAAAACAAAAGTATTGAAAAGTTAAATCCATTTTTCAATATATTTTTTCATTGCTCTTTTGGATTAAATCTTTAAATACAGGTCAGCTGGTGGGGGATAAAATATTGAAAGACCAAATTTGTGTTGTTAATAGTTGATAACCAGCCTGCTGTTTTTTTTCAAAGTCAGTTTATTCAAAAAGAGAGCCTGAGATGGTCATTTGATATGTGTGCTTAAAATTTTAATTTACGCTTTAAAAAATTCATACATGTATATACAATGCGCTTTAATTTTTCTGAATTATAAAAAAATGAGGCTATATTATTTTTTTCAAAAACTTTTTTATTCAATATTTTGGTCTGTTTTGTTTGTTTGAGTGATTATTTGTGTAACTAGAGGCTCAACATACAAGATTTTACCTAAAATATCTGGAGTGTACAAGTAAACAGTTCATGATTCTAAACCAGTCTTCTTTACTAAAGTAAATAAAAAAATCAAAATTTGATATGGGGATATCTTTTGCTACTTGTTTTTAACTAAAGAATGCTTTTTAGTTAATCAATACTTCTTATGAGAAATGGACGCATTATTTATTGACATAACCATTTATTTATACTTTTCACAAGAAAAAAAAATCCCTCCACTATAAACCAATTATAGATCAGAGAAGATCTTTGCAGTAGGTAGTGTAAACAATTGTTTGTTTTCCACGCCTCTTCTATAAATACTTGTATTACAAAATAGTGTTCTGAAGAATTGAATTTTACCGTAGTTTTAATACCATGCTCAATGTAATAAGTGCACCTATGAATTACTAAATCAATGACCTTTTGTTTATTTGTCAACGTTTTATTACGCAGCTTTTTATCAGCTTCAACACTTGCGCTAATGCACCAGTCCACCACAGGCTTTCTAAATAGCAGTAAATTTTTTTGACTTATGGATTTTCAAATTTTGTTTTTTGAAAGGACTTTCTCAGGGGACAGTCAGATAATAAGATCCCAACTATAGAAGCCCTTGCATAGCAAGTTGGACAGTTCCCAGCCATTAATTTAGAACCAGCACAGAAGGGACAGACTGAAGGTAAAAACTGCTCATTGCTTAAGCTGTGTCCCCTACCCTTCCACAGTGGGGACCAGGGGGCGGGACTTTGCATTGCATGTTGGTTGTCATATAACTATTTTAATGTTAAACTTCAGTTTGAAAATTTTCAATAAACTATGACATCTCATTGCAAAATCTAGTGCAAGTACTTTTGTTATAAGTAAGATCAAGCTCACTTATAATTTTGTTGTCAGAATTAGTATTTTCATAAAGCCTTATGACTTAAAGGGATTCCACTTTTTGTCATAATGTGACTGGCAATATTTTTTTCAAGATTAATATTCCATTTGATGTAGGTA